AATTGTAAACATGGCGCGCGGCGGCGATCGGCGGCGCAAAGGCAGGCTGGCCGGAGGGCACGCCACAGCTAAATTACTGGCGCTAGCGCGCCACACTGCTCCCCCTCTTAGTCGCGGAGCCATCACATCACATCACAATTCACAAAAGCGGGCCTGCGCGGTGGTCACCAGTGACCCGGCGGCCGGGACCGGCGAGGCGACGAGCGGATCGACGTCCGGTGCGCGGCGGTCGCCAGCGACCCGGCGGCCGGGCGCAGCACGGCGGCGAGCGACTCGACGGCGAGCGGCTCGGCGTCCGGTGGTGGCGCGGTGACCAGCAGCTCGTCGGTCCGGGTCGGTGCGGGCAGCACCGAGTCCACGTTGTGTCGTTTGCTGGTACAGGCGGCAGTCATCTTGGGCTGGCACGTTGGAGGCGAGCTGCCGGTGTCTATGTGGTGGCTGGCAGGTATCAGGCAGGCGTCCGAGGTCTCTCCAGGCTGGAACTGCTCCAAGATGGAGGGGTCGCTGGCACAGGAGAGTCTGGACTGGAGGTGGCTGGTCAGGACTGGTTGACCAGGAACGCACCTGGATTGTTTGGGAAGTAGGAAGCAGAGTCAACCACAAGACGACAGAAAATGAGCCAGAAGGGGTACAGAGACCTCAGCATACACTGGAAGGAACAACAGCGGGCCAGGATAGGAAAATAATGGAAAGGTCAACATGAGGAAACAAACGTCAGTCGTCAGGAGTCAGGATGTCTCCTGCACTCGAAGAATGAGGCGGTCTTCAGGTCGTTCATCTGTGGTTCAGATGGCGTGCAGGTCGGTGACGTCCACAGTGACGGCGTTGACTGGTGTCCCAGCAGCTGAGGCAGTCAACTGGTAGTCAACCGGCGGAGCTCCTGCCAGGTGCGGCTTGACAGAGGCCCCAGGAGAGGCGGCTGCGTCCTGCGCGGCAGGGTCGTCATCCTGTGCAGCAGGGTCGTATCGACTTATTGCTGGTCGCCTCTCTCGTCCTGCTGCTGGTGCTGGTTGACGGCGGGGGGCTGCTCAGCGGAAGTGCGAGACAGCTGGTTTGTCAGGCTGCACGCGGGTGCGAAAACAGCACCAACAGCAGAAGGCAGGGCCAGGGACTCAGCCACAAGCACATCATCCGTCAGAGTGAGGCATGACGAGTAGGTAGGCAAGGTCAAGGTTAGCAACAAAAAGCACAAAAAATGGCAACAAAAGCACAGGATATATCAACAGGTTAAACTCATCACTTCAATCACGTCGGGGTCACCAGAATGTGGGTCTCAGGTTAAATAGGTGCGTGTTCGGAAGAAAGGAAATTACCCACAATGAAAGAACGAAATAAACAGTGAAACGATGGTTAGATATGGGTTGAAACTGGGAGAAAAACGTGAGAAATAAAACTAGGAACTCGTCGAAATACTCAGCCTCTCTGACACTCTGCGTACGGACACTAAATTTATATTTGAACTGAGAGCACGTGCCAAAAGCCATAGAGATCAAAACGAACAGGAAGTAAATGGGGGCGGAACTACACTGCCAAAAGTTAAAACACTTTTTTACATAATCAAAAACGAATCGAGTATATGGAAACGGCGAAAAGTCAATCTAGAAATTACAACAAATTAAAGCAAGGACAAATATGAAATACGGTTGAAATCTATAAAACAGAAGTGACGATAATAACGAATTTACAATAATATAAAAGAGGAAAACAAACGTTCTTGATAAAATTGTAAACATGGCGCGCGGCGGCGATCGGCGGCGCAAAGGCAGGCTGGCCGGAGGGCACGCCACAGCTAAATTACTGGCGCTAGCGCGCCACAGACCGCGTTGCTCGGCAGACCCCATCTGGGCGCGGGTTAAAATTGATCACAGAATAGTACAGCAGTTCTAAAAACCAAGCCGGGCAAATCAGTCGACTGCGGCGGTGCTATTATTGTTCACGGATGTCATATTGAACTCAAATACTAGCGAACTATCACTTTCAGCTACATCAGATTCAGAATGCATCCGTGTAGAGAAAATAAAGTAACGATAACGCGCACCAACGCCCGGAATATTCCGAGTTAGTTTTTCTCCCTCGCCTTTCCGGCAGCACAGAATTATTATAAGTTATACCTGACGCTCCCATCACAGCGCCTCGCTGAAAGAGCTTATGATAAAAGCGAGTGTTTGCCTTTTCGAGCGAATTTGGCTCGCCCCGCCGAGTGCACCACCCACATTTGGCGCAATACCTTGATAAGCTCGATAATGAGGTCAGGTTGCTAGGGCAGGGTCAATTTCATATGAAAGCATCTGCATCACTTGACTCGAGCGAGAAAAACGATCACAAAAGTGGATACCAATTAGAAGCACATGCGGCATGACAAAAACGAATAGCGAATGTGTAGCAGGTGGCAGGTAATTATATACTGAAGCCAACTTAATTAAGCATTAATAGAGTCTAAAATAGATCCATTATGATTACATAGACCAATACAAGTCGCAGCAGGGCAACGGGTGGGGAGGAATAAGGAAGTTAACGGAAATAACGACCTTAGACGTCTATTTACCTCTACATAGGTGTGTAGAGGGCTATGTAACAACGTCTGTATAAGTATATGTGCGTATGACTGATAGCTTTGCCATCAGTTTGGAAGCACACAAAAACACATTTCCTTAAAAATTCTGCTCTAGTGCTTATACAATGTACATACTTCTATTACTATGCCCAACTCGAGCTCCCTCAGAACAGAAGGGAGCTCTCACTCAGCTCCTACAAACATGTGCAGTATGCACCGTGTTTACAACACGGTAAAACACCGTTAGTTGATTTTTTTCTTATTTATGTCCACAGGACAGCATGTAAAATATTAGCTACACAATGGTGCTTCACGTTTATCCTCCAAAAGAAGTGTTGTGATGATGTACGGGATACGAGGCACAAGGTATGAGGTTCAAGAGCCGTTGAATGAAGTGAAGTGTCAATTAAAAATGCCAAAACATAATAAAAAGTCCATTATATCACAAGGTCATCCCCTGTAGTATAAGCCAGGCCACACTAAAAATATGACAGGCAGGGTCTGCAACTTCGCACACCTCTGTAAATATAATAAACGCACTCTGGGAAACAAATGCGTAGCTAATACTTTCGACCAGACAGCCAACTCGTGGAAATGACCCTTTCCTTTTCCTTTCCTTTCTTTCTTCCCCCTTCCTTCCCCGAGGTCAATGGTAGCACAGCGGACCGTGTCAGGGGCCAAATCAACCCGGCCGACCTACCGAGGTATGCCATCTCAGGACCTGAACCGCAGACACCTCCCCCAATATGACAGTGCGGCGGAGACGCCTGCCGTGCCGCGGACCGTCTGCGCGCCCAGCCGGTGGCCGGCACTGTCACCGTTTCTCGGCCGGGCCCATCCAATACCGGCGGTGACCGCGCCCACCACCGACCCTGCCGGCTTCTACGGCCAACCGGCCGCGCGCCGGGCGCTCCTAGCGAGGTTTGTGAGCGGTCCGGCGCTCCCAGCGTGGCTGTTGACCAGCGCGGTCCTTACCGTGGTCGGTAAGCTACATATGTTACGGGCCAAGTGCGAAGGCTAGTCCGTTTGCGAACGGACTAGTCCATTCGCGAATGGACTAGGCCGTTTGCGAATGGCGGTCCGTTCGCAAACGGACTAGTCCGTTTGCGAATGGCCGGCCATTCGCGAATGGCCTAGGCCGTTTGCGAACGGACGGGTTTGTGGCGTTGCACTTAGCCGCCGGAAGCATGGATACTCAATATACCCTGGCATGGATCCTCGGAATGGGGTACGATTCCGAATGAATGGGGGACCGCTGGTCGATGCAGGGGCGTCGCCGACGGGGGGGGGGGGGGTCGGAGGGGTCCGGAACCCCCCCCCCCACACACACACACATTCTTGAAAATATGCCGGTCCGACGCCCCCCCCCCCCCTCCCCCACACACACACACTTTTGGCCACGAAAATCGATCAAGAATAAAATAAAATATTTTAAAAACGATTTTGGTGCATTCTCATAATAAAATTGTCTAAATCCGAGGAGTTTTCAGTATTTGGTGGGGATTACTTTGACTGACCGTCCGACCAGAGCCCCTAGTCGAAAATCGCTGCGTCTATATGTTTAGTTTGTTCTCCGGAGCAGATCTGCGAGCTGGCGCAACTCTGGGTTAAGGTCTCCACACACCTGGTCCATTCGGGATGCGACTTTCCGCTGAACCCTGCACAACGCGGAAATTATAGCAACGTGTTGCCGCTGGCCAGGCTTCGGCCACCGATCTGGATCTGGGGAGGTCAAATATCCCCGTGACATTCGAACAGCGGAGAGTCGCGTGGTGTGCGGAGACCATTAGTACCGTGCTCCGGGCTCCCCGCTGATGACCCGACCTGACCTTGGTCGAGTTTGTGGCGCTCGATTCATTCTGCTCTGGTGTGGTGTACCGGGACGGTGCGGCTTGTGTGTGGTGAGTGCGGTGCGGTGAGTGTTCGAAAAACTGTTGTGTTGCATTGCATTTAACAATACGCGCACTGCAGGGGGGGGGGGGTGCTTTCAACCCTTCTGTGGTTTTTCACAGATTACGAGAAAACGGCGGGTTCGGTATTTCGCACTTGGCCTGACTTCGCACTTGGACTGGGAGCATAAACGCCCGTCCATTCGCAAACGGCCTAGGCCAACTGCAATAACGCACATGGACTAGTCCATTCGCAAACGGCCTAGTCCAAGTGCGTTATCGCACTTGGACTAGGCCATTCGCGAATGGACTAGCCTTCGCACTTGGTCCGCAACACATACATACTGCTCTTAGCGTGCTCAGTGAACTAGGCGTTCTGATTTATCATTGTCACTGAGCAATACGGCGTTCTTACCGTGGTCGGTGAGCGGTGCGGTTCTTACCATGGTCGGTGACCGGTGCGTCTCTTACCGTGGTCGGTGAGCGGCGCGTTTCTTACCATGTTCGGTTAGCAGTGCGTTTCTTACCGTGGTCTGTGAGAGCGGTGCGTCTCTTACCGTGGTGGGTGAGCGGTGTGTCTCGGCAAACGGCGAGCCCGGGGAATGGGAGAACTGCGCCAGCCCTCCGGACGCTGACGCGGCGCCGTTGGTCGCCCGGCCTGTGGACAGAGCAGGCAGAGTGGAGTCAGGTCACACGGGGACCGAGAGGGGTCGGGTCACACAGGGATCGTAAGGGGTCGGGTCACACAGGGACCGTAAGGGGTCAGGGTTCACACGGGGACCGAGAGGGGTCGGGTCACACAGCGACGGATCATACGGACCGCACCACATGAAGGTAGCTCATAGGTACGGCCCTCCAGCAAAAGAGTGGTTGGTTAGCCTATGTGCTTTTGGTGTAATAACTTTGAATGACAGAGACAATCCTGTAAAATGACTCAATAGGAATGAGAAGAGGGTTCGTGCACACACTTCGGCAGTGGTTTTCAACAGCCATTGGACGTATTCATCAATGCAGATCGCTTCTTGTGATGTTGGCAACCAACTACTTAATACCTGGAGGGCCGTACAAGGTCGAGCCATAAATAAACCCAGCCGGCCGAAGGTTGTTGCCGGGGAGGCGGAGCGCCCGCACCCGCACGCATTACACGGTACTGCCGCCGAAGTGGTGGCCGACTATCTCAGTCAGGCGGGCCAGGCCAGTCGGTCTCCACCGGCCAGTGTCGCCAGTACCATTCCTCACTGTCCGAACAGTCAGCGACAGGCGCGGCCGGGCCGACAGCCAGTTAAAGTAATTGACAGTCGGGCCAGCCTCGCAGTCGTACGTCACTGGGGCGGTGACGATGGCGGCTGGGTGCCGTACACAGTGGGACAGCCGATTGGTACAGCGCAAACTTGTTCCGACGCCAGTCTCTATTGTTATCCGGTCAGCCATGAACCAAGCCAGTGTGAGGTTAATTCGATGCGAGGCTGCATGGTAATTTATACGGTACAGGCTTACAGTATTAGCTGGCTTTACAGTGATATTTACTGCACTATGCTGAGCGAAATGGATTTGAAACATCTGGCAAAATAGTATTCCCATTTAAAGAAGGGCAATAAATTTTGAAAGAGAACGAAAAATGCCTTGCCATTGGGAAACGTGTAAACAATAGTTATGGCAGCACATTGAATTTGAGCATTGAACTGGACCGAAATACCAAAACAATATGTGTGTAAGAGCTTTCCAAGGGTACGTACATAATGAACCTGCTTCGAAGTGCTAGGATATGAGGCAATGCCATCGTCACTTGAATGGCGAATATTGCAGCAGTTAAGCTCCACAGCATTAAATAATAGTCGGATTTCCCTAGCATTTACTAAGGCCGCAGGAAATAGCAAAGTCGAAAGCCACAAACAAGAAATGCTGATTGAAATTCTGCTGGGTATGAGAGACACCGTTCCCTTCTCTCCGTGAGATGCGAAGATCACCCGGCGCATCCGTAAAAGTTTCTGTAAGTCTGGCTCACTCGGTGCGCGGCCAGAGGAGAGAGACTCGGGATGTGAACCCGTGGCTGTTTCGCCATGATAACGCAGCGGCCTACAGTAGCCGAAATACCGGATATTCTAGTCTGAGCTGGGAGAAGAGCGGAGTGCCGGAGCAGCTCTCATGCTGGCCACTCTCCGTGTGACCTTTCACCTTGCTCAAGGGATCATCAAAGGGACGCGTTTTGAGGATGTGGACTCGGTCAAAAATATCTCACCGATGTTGCTACAGAGCGTACCTGCTAGGATATCAGGCGGATGAGAAAACGAGCACCCAGCCGCCGCAGCTCCCACCATTCGACTGTCAAAGCCGGCAATTTACTGATACAACTGCGTCATGCGTGGGCTGGGCAGGCAATATTTGATGCATACAAACAAGCTAGAAACGCGTGGAAATTGGAATAAAAACAATTCTGCACGTATGAGACAGGCAATGAGCCCAAACGCACAGTTGCTGGTGTGCTTGCAGCAATCCGCTGTCTGGACTGTGTAATCATAAACAAGGCCAACAGCAATAAATACGGCACACATAGCTATTGCCCGACTTAATTAGCTACAGCGGTAATTGTAGTTTAACGTAGGTATTTGCTGACCGTTAAAATAACCTCGGACAGACAGCAATGGATGAGAGATGTGGCCATCAACACGGTATTTGCTATATGTGGCATCGGATGATTTGTGCGGGGGATAGACTTCATGACTTCATACTTCAACGCACAACTTTACCACGCTCAGTTTGGAAAAAAACTGCTTTCGTGTTAAGCAACGACAGGTGACTAATCGCAAGACACAGTGGAAAAGACTCTCATATGACTTCTTATGCGGAGAGTTGACTACTAAGCAGCACTTGTAAGTACATATAAGTGATGAGTCGAGCTCCCCTCCCCTCCCCGTTAACGGACTGATCAGCCTCTGTCAGTGACCCGTCCATTTGTCCTCACCCGCTCCGGCGGCAGCAGCGGCCACCGTCTGTCCCGTCTCCCCGAACTTGAGTCGCAGGCCGTGGCTGATGTTCATCAGGCTGAAGGGCGGCATCTTGTAGCCGCGGCCGGCCGAGCAGCGCAGTGCCAGACCTCCCTCGAACGGCTCGTCGTACAGCACCTCGTACAGCACGTCCGCCGGCTCGGCCGCCTCGCGGATACCTGCAGGAAGGACGGGGAGGGGGTGTCACTTATACAGCACCTCGTACAGCACGTCCGCCGGCTCAGTAGCCTCGCGGATACCTGACGTCAAAGAGGGGAGGGTGTCACAGATACAGCACCTCGTACAGCACGTCCGCCGGCTCGGCCGCCTCGCGGATACCTGCCGTAAGGACCGGGAGGGGGTGTCATAGTCACAAAAACTGCAGACTACGGAGAACAAACTGCTACAGCACGTCCGCCGGCTCGGCCGCCTCACGGATACCTGCCATCAGAGTAAGGATGTCATAGACACAGCACCCAGCGTCTTCCGGATCAGCAGTCTCGCGGAAACCTGTCGTCGGAGAGAGGAAACTGTCACAGACTCAGCACTCAGCAATCGACACAGTGAGTCTGAGCGCACCGCGCCCCCACGGCGTGCTTCCACCGCTGCCATCCTACATAAGCCGAGTGCCGGAGGCCGCATATGAGCCCACTACGAGCAGCTCAGAGGGCCCGCCGTCCCCCTGGGACCCTCGAGAATGGCCGGCTCCCAGTGCAGTGGGACAGGCGCCGTACCAACATCGATCCAGAGGTGAGTATCGCCCCGGGACGGAGAACGCCGCACACACTTGTAACGCAAACACAAACACGCAAACACACACAGTTAACCCTCGCACGACCAGGCCATTTCTCATAACACGAACGACCAGGGGGGGGTTGTTACGACCCCCCCCCCTGGCGTTTCGAAACGGAAGGTCGTAGAGCTTAGCGGAAAAAACCAACGGATTGCTCTCAACGAGATCTCGCAATTGGTGGTATATTTTTTGGTCCTAGGTCAACATTTGACCTACTTTTGACCGGTCAAAGGTCAAATTTTCGGAAAAATAGACTTTTTCAACTTTCGGCGGCGATTGCGGCAAAACGGTGGGAGATATCGACTTGAAACCTTCACTATCGTGTTCCTTGATCAGTTCTCTATCGTTTGGTATGTATTTCGTTTCCCTAGCTCTAAAAATGGCGCGTTGGGAGCGCCGGAAGTCGGCAAGGTCACAGTCGGCGGCAGAAATTCGAAAAATCAAAATTTAAATTTTTGAAATCTGATTGTATTTTTGGATTTGGGAGGTCCATTTGCTCCCTATAGAAGCTAATATTGCTGCATATTCCCATTGAGGTGACAAGAATTAGCAAAATAGTGGTTCGGGCGCTTTTCAAAAATAGTACCGGACGCTGTTCCTCTTGTGACGTCATAGCTCCGTGACCTGACCTGACCCGGTCAAATTTCTTATACCATATGATAGCCAATACTTGCCCCAACATGCATGGGAAGTTTCATCACGATCCATCAACCGATGTCCGTACCACCGGCAGGAAACCTCGGGCGTTGGCACTCAGTTTGTGAAAATCCGGCCGGAGGCTGTACCTCTTATGACGTCATAACTCCGTGACCTGACATGACCCGATCAATTTTTTTTCGGCAAAAGATGCGCAAAGGTTGCCCCAGAGGGTATTGAAAATTTCAGCCCGCTACGACAAGCCTGTTGTGTATTTGCGGTGTTCTGCTAGCAATTATAAAATGACCTCAACATGGAGGTGCCGAGCAGTGCAATGTCTCCCGCAAATATTGTGATTGTTTTTGGATAAAATCTGGGTTCGAGGGGGGACTTGGGAGTGACATGAAAAATGGAATACAGGAAGTGATATATTGTGATTTTGAATATTAAATAGACTGAAGAAAGGAATAATATCTGGAACATTTGGTGACCGTGACAGGACACGATGGAGGAGTATATACAATTGGCAGAAAGGTGTGGATTGAGTGGATCAGAAGCCTTGGCGTATGCCACTGAACAGAAGGAGAAGGCGGACGAAAGAGCGGAGAGAATCGCAGCCAGAGAAGAGAGAGAAAAAGAGAGACAATTTGAAGTTACGGCCAGAGAAGAGAGAGAAAAAGAGAGACAGCATGAGCTAGAGCTGGAGCGCATCCGAGCGGAGAGAGCGAGTTCAACAGAACAACAGGCGGCGTCGGCCAAGAAGCCCAAGTTACCTGCGTTCGTGGATGGCAAGGACGATTTGGACGCCTACCTGGCGCGGTTCGAGAGGACAGCAGCTCGGTGCGGGTGGGCCAGAGAGGAATGGGCCACTAACTTGAGTGCTCTTCTGACCGGGAGGGCTCTCAACGTGTATTCTCGGCTAAACGAGCGTGATGCAAATGACTACCAGCAAGTAAAGGAAGCCCTGCTACAGCGCTACGGTTTGACGGCGGAGGGCTACCGCCGTAAGCTCCGAGAGAGCGGACCCGAGCCGGATGAGAGCCCACCTCAATATCTGGAGCGGCTGACGGGCTACCTGCGCCGTTGGGTGAGCTTGGCTGGCGAGGATTTAGAAGACCTAGTTGTGTATGAACAGTTTATGGAAGCATGTCCGAAACAACTGCAGACGCATCTACGCGAGCGCGTTGACTATGACCTGAAAGATTTGGGTGAGCAGGCTTCAAAATTCTTAGAAGCTCACGGCCGCTCGCTTTACAACTGGCCCAGACGCGCCAACGCCAGTGGTGATTCATCCTCCTCGCCCTCTCCACAGGCTTACGGTTCAGCAACTGCGCTACCGACGGCGGTCCAAGATGGTTGCGTCTTTTGTGGGTACCCTCATCCATCGGAAGAGTGTAGGAAGACGCGGGACCTCACGCCGGCTGAGCGACGAGAGCGCTTGATGCGCCGAGCGGGGTGCTTCTGGTGCCTGAAGCCGGCCTCTCACCGAGCAGTTGACTGCCGCCAGGGCCTGGCGCGCTGCTCGATCTGTAATGGCAAGCACAATCCCCTGCTATGCGACCGGTCGTCTGTGCCAGCAGCAGCGAGGGGCAGCCAGTCGAGCAGCGGCACGTCACCCGCTCAATCAGCCACGGTGACGGCGGCCAGTCGCACAGCCACCGAACCTGACCGTGTCGTGCTCATGCAGACGGCCAAAGTGGAGGCATCTGGACTGAAGAGCACGTGCCGCGTGCGAGTCATGTGTGACTCAGGCAGCAACGCCACCTTCATCAGATCTGACACAGCACACATGCTGGGCTGTCGGATTCAGACAAGACAACCGCTCCAGGTGAGCACATTCGGAGGAGGAAAGGCGTCGCATCAGCTGAGTGAGAAGGTGGAAGTGGGACTGACCACACAGGATGGGTCACTGCTACGTGTCGAGGCCTATAAGATTCCCAATATATGTGGCCCTCCGCCTGTCATCGGCATAGAAGAAATACAGCTTCATGAACACCTGAGAGGTCTGAAGCTGGCGGAGGAACCAGGTGCTGCGCTGGCCAGTGGTGGTGAAATTGAGATTCTCCTCGGCCAGGACGTCCTGCAGGACGTTTTTGACGGTGACATGCGCGTCGGTCAGTCCGGGCCAATGGCGATCAGCTCGCGGTTTGGCTGGATCGTATGCGGGCGGTCAGGCTGCGCCACTCCAGCCCCACAAGAGATGATGGCCAACTTCGTGCACACGGAGACGGAGTCGGTGAAGGCGACGCTGGATGACTTGTGGACGCTGGAAGTCATCGGGATCAGCAGTGATGGTGTAGGAGATGGCAGCGCGAAGAAAACGCAGGAAGCCGCTGCCCTGCAGCAGTTCAATGAAACCTGCACTCGCCTTCCTGACGGGCGCTATCAGAACCGTTGGCCATGGAAACATGACACCGGGGACCTCCCCTCAAACGAAGCCATGGCGCTCTCTCGCCTGGAGGCGTGCGAGCGGAGCCTGAGGAAGACTGGAAAACTGAGGCAATATGACAATGCAATCCAAGACTACATCGATCAAGGTCACGCTGAAGAGGCACCCCAGATCCCCACTGGGAAGGTGCATCTACTCCCGCACCATGCAGTCTTCAAGGGAGACAAGATCAGGATTGTCTTTGACGCTGCCGCTGGCCATCCCAACTCGCTGAACGATCACGTCCTCTCTGGTCCAAACATGATTGCTGACCTTACCGGAGTGCTGCTCCGATTTCGAACGAGAAGGATCGGAGTCACCGCTGATATTGAGAAGGCATTCCTTCAGCTGCCTCTACATCCTGATGACCGGGATGTCACGAGGTTCCTGTGGAGGAAGGATGCCTCCGATCTCCGCCCCACCACCTACCGCATGACGCGTGTGGTGTTCGGAGTGACCGCTTCGCCATTCCTGCTTCAGGCAAGCGTACGTCAACATCTGCAGCAGTATGAGGAGGCAGACGGACAGCTGGTCGCTCGCCTGCGGCGCGACCTATACTGTGATGATTTAATCACCAGCGTGAATACACAGGAAGAGGCTGAAGAGCTGTCACAGCGGACCCAAGAGATCTTCAATGATGCCAAGATGAATATGAGACACTGGACCTACAGCTTCGAGACGGACAAGGAGGCACACAAGCCTCTTGGCGAGGAGGCAACAGCTGAGCGTAAAGTGCTGGGCATCTGCTGGATCCCAGGGGACGATCAGCTGGTGTTCAAAACTGCCTTTCTGACGCAGCTCGGTCGAGAAGCACCGGAAACGAAGCGGAACATTCTAAGCGTCTCAGCGCGCTTTTACGACCCGCTTGGCCTTCTTGTTCCCTTTCTGGTTCGAGCGAAGCTTCTGCTGAAGAGATTATGGATCGCTGGCCATTCCTGGGATCAGACGGTAGCCAGTGACGTGCGCAAGGACTGGAGAAAGTGGCTTCTGGAGCTGGAGCAGATCGACGGTTTCAGCATCCCACGTCCCTACGCGACCGGCGGGGACTGCGGCTATCAGCTACACATGTTCTGCGACGCCAGTATGGAGGCCATGGCAGCAGCTGTGTACGTCAAACCGGAAGACAACTCACGCGCGCCCACTCTGGTGATGGCTAAGGCCCGTCTCGCCCCACGCCAAGCCATGTCAGTGCCTCGTCTCGAGCTGACAGCGGCCGTGATCGGTGCCCGGTTAGTCACCTACGTGCAAAGTCAACTAGACATCACCACCGAAATCAGCGGCTGCTGGACTGACTCGATGGTAGCGCTTCACTGGATTAGAAG